GGTAAAGGCGGAGCGGGTGCATGTTGTCATTGGGCTGCTGAAGGACGGGGGCATGGACACCGTGGCCAGGCTGGCAGCCAGCGAGGCGCACAACGTCCGCGCGGCGACCGGCCTCATGCTCCAGGCGCCCAAGCTGGTCGCCGAGGCGCGGAAGCAGGTGGCGGCGCAGAGCGCGGCAGGCGGCGGGGCACGTGGGTGAGGCGCGTCGCGGGCAGCGCGCAGAGGATGCGCCGGGCGCGGCACGGGCTGGCCGCGCGCTGCCGCAGCCGGGCCCCATCACGAGCTTCTAGTCCCGTTTGCCAGCAGACGCCTGGACGGCAGCCACGTTTGTTTTATCAGATTACATCTTCCGCCCTATCAGGGTGTCAGTGCGTTCTCCCCCTTCGTGCCATGACAAGCCCTAGCTGGCGGTCGCTTCTGGCTAATGTTTTTGGGCCAGGTGTGGCCCTTGATCTGTTCCCGGGCCCACCACTCTACCTGGACAGAGCACCCCCTCACAGCGCATGCGCGCTCACCGCTCATCCCACACTCTCGATCTGTGAAACTGTCAGCCAAACCTCCCTTTGGGGGTTGCAGCGCGCACATCGACCCAGACCTTTCAATCGTCTTCGCTTTTGGGGCTTGCCGTGCCCTTGCTTTGCTTTGTGCTGACTTTGTTGACATGATCAAAGACATGACCGTGACCATGACAATGACCATTATTGCAATCAATTCAAATCCTGAAACAAGGATATTTCATCAAGGCCCGTGCTGTTTTCTTGGTAGCCTTTTCTTGCATGGGTTCATGCAAGCATGTGAGTGCATGCTGCCTTTTTGTTTTTGCGTCCTGGTTGCTGCCTCCAGTCAACCCTGCGGCCCAGCATTCGTCCTTCACGCAAAGCACTGGGAGGTGCACAGATGGCAGATGGCGTGTTGGGCGCTGTGGTTATGTAACTAGCGGAGCGCGGCTTTGATGGTGTGTCTGCCAGCCAGTTGGTCCAGCAACTGCTTGACCGTCAGTGACTATATTTGTGCGAACCTGGGCGCGAGTGAGAACATCGTCCTTTATCGCCCCAATCCTACAGCCACCAGCTATAGGGACTGTAGCCCGCACTGGTCAATGCGCAGGGCGCGGGGCGGAAAGCTTCTGTTCCGATGCAGTGCCATGGGGCAAACGGCTGCTTTGCACGGATGCTGGTGCTGCGTGATGCGCACGTGCGCGCCCACTCTATACGCGGGCGATGCCCACCACCCATTACAGGCTCACAGAAGCATGCGATACTTGGTCGCCACTCCCCATGCAAGTGATCACAATGAAATTTCATTTGAGGCCGTCTCACCAGCCATGCCCACCGCCAGCCAGACAGCCAGCAGCAGGGGCGCAGAGGCACAGCCCGAGCTGCCCACACCTGCGGTGTCTGATGGGAGTCTGGGCTTGTTCACCAGGTGTGTATCTCTGTTTGTTCAGGATAACATGCCCTGCGCTCAGAGGCAGCACGAGGCCCAAAAGTCCAGTGAGCATGTCCTCACGTGCCACAGGTGCAACTCTCAGCGTTTGAAGTGGTTGAAGTCGGCCCTTCTGGGACAGCCGGTGAGTGAAACAACACAAGCCGCCGGGCGGTGCCTCATGTCAATGCGCACAACAATTTCGTGCTGCTCTACGCACTGCTTGAATACGGCGGCGCTGCTGGTGGGGCGAGCGTCTGTGTGCTCATGTGCCTGTTTCGTCACCCGCACGATGGGTGTGGAGTGGCACTTGAGCTCGCTTGTGTTGAATGCTTAGTCATAAAGGTTTGTCGCAAGCATATGTGAAAAAGCCACGCGTCCGAGCCACGCGCACAGACACCAAGGTCTCACCGTTGCGGTGCGGTTACATTTGTATTTGGTCACCACCTAGTGTTGTTTGGGTGGCTTCAAATCAGAAGAAAATAATCAACAACTGTGTAGTATGTGCTCAAGCTAGATCTCGCGGCACTGCTCGTGTGACCGGGCGTTGTTTGCAGGAAACACCCATCTAGGTAGGTGGGACTGCTGAGCTTGAGTCATGTCCCTTATGTATAAATCATGCAGGGGCCAACCAGCCGCGGCGCATGTGTCGCAATCATCGGACGCTCCATGCGCCATGCTGCAATATGCTGCTGCGCCGCGTCCACCCCCATCTCGCCGCTGCGGCGCACCTCTGCAGCTTGCGCGAGCCAAGGGCCCAAACCCCTCCTACACCTGGTCTGCTGCCGCCGGGCCAGGCGCACTGTGCCCTGGTGGCGTACGCGAGCCGCAGAATTTCGGATTGGCCGGGCAGTGATGGCGCGCGCGGGCAAGCTGGAGGAGGCCGAGAAGCTGCTGAAAAAGGCCAACAAGCTGTGGCAGCCCTCCATCCTGGACATGCGGCTCAAGCCAGACTGGGAGGGTGCGGCGCCGCTGTTTGAGAAGGCGGCCCTTGCGTTCAAGGTGCGTGTGCGGGGTGGTGTGGGCCGCTGTGTGTCAGTCCTTGTGGTTGTTTGCATCGCCCCGGGTCACCGCCTGCGGCATCGCACACACCGCACATGCTGCTGCATGCCGCCGTAGAGCCCATCCATCTCGCGCCCCCGTGCATTCCACAGCAATCCGGGGAGCTGGAGAAGAGCCGCGCCGCGTACGAGCGCGCCGCGATGAGCCAGGACAAGATCGGCAGCACGTGGCACGCGGCCAAGCACCTGGAGAGCGCCAGCCAAATCAGCCGTGACCTGGGAGAGTGGGGCAGCGTGGCGGACTTTGCGCGGCAGGCGGCGGGGTACTTTGCGCAGGCGGGGCGGCCGACGGCGGGTGCGCGGGGCCGCGGCGGGCGGCGGAGGCGTGGCCGTCGCACCGGCGTCGCGGCGTGCTCGAGCGCAGAGGGGGTGCGGGGTTTGCTGCAGCAGTCATGGACGAGAGGGGGAACCCACAGACCGCAGCGTGCTTGATGGGTGTGTGGTGGATTGGTGTGTCAATTTGCTGCCTCGTCCCTGCGGCCCGTGCGGCCCCCTCGCCCGCAGGCGCGGACGCGCTGGCCCGCGGCGCGAAGCAGCTGGAGGAGGCGAGCCCCTCGGACGCGCACGCGCTGTACAAGGAGGCGCTCGACATGTACGAGGTTGACGGCAAGGAGGGGCAGGTGCGGAGTGGGCGGGGGCCGGCACGTCGTGGCCCGCGGCATCGGCAACGGATTCTGCACGGCTGCGGCGGCCTGCCATCCTCTGGTCCCTTATTCCGAAGAAGCCTGCAATGGATGTCCGCGACCTGCCACGGTTTGTGCGTGCTGCGGTGACGCTCGCATAAGATGGGGCGTTGGCCGCGGCTCCGCCCCTCCGCCGACCGCCGCAGGCCGGCGACGTGTTCCGCCAGGCCGTCGCGTGCCTGGTGCGCAATGGCAAGTACGGCGACGCGGCTGGCCTTCTCATGCGGTTTGGAGAGGCCTGCGACTCGGTGAGGGGCTGGAGCGGGGGCAGTCTGTCTATGGGAAAGAGCGTCTGCTGCCCTTTGGGCTGTCGCGCCACAGTGTTGACGCGGTTCTGCATGATTGGCTGAAGGGCTTCCTCAGTGCCTCCAGAAGGACGCCCAGGCTGCCTGCAACCCCACTCGCTCGCCTGCGTCGCGTCATACCCCGCGCCGCGCCCGACAGGTGGGCGCGCGCAGCAGCCAGTGCAAAGCATACCTTGGGGCCGTGGTTGCGTGGCTCTACGCACAGGACGCGCGGGAGGCGTGGCAGGTGGGCGGCAAGCAACACGGGGCAGCGAGCCACGGCGTGGCAGCGCGGCTGCGCCCGACAGCACCCCGGCGGGGCGCACGGAGGATGCCTGTGCCGGCTGTGGGTCTTGGGGCGGCCGCGGCGCCGCGCCGCCCTCGCCCCTACTTCTGACCTCCCCTTACCCAGCCGCCGCCGCCGCCCCCCTTTCCCCCAGCCCACGTCCCCCACACACCAGCCGCCGCCGCCGCTGCGCAAACTTGCCCCTCTCAGGTGTTCCAGGATGCGATGGGCGTGGACGCCTTCAGCAGCAGCGACGAGGCGTTCGCGGCGGACGCCCTGTTTTTATCATATGCGGACGGCAACGCCGAGAAGGTCAAGGCGCTGGTGCAGGTGGGCCGAGGCTGGGCACGCGTGGGACCGGTGGGCTTGGAGGGCCGATAAGGGACTCTGACCGTGTGTGAGACGGGCGGCCATAACCTGGGTGGGGCAGGCATAGTCCAGAACTCGGAGAGGCCGCCCTGCTGAGTCGAGGTGGCGTTATTGAACCTTCTTACTGGATTATATACTTTGAATGTTGGGCGATGCGCTCGCCGGCGGCCGCGCACCCTCAGAGCAAGGCGGCCTTCCGGCAGCTGGATGCGGCGGTGGGGCGGCTTGCAGTGAAGCTTCCCATTGGAGACCTCGCACCCCAAGCAGCCGCGGTGAGAAGCAGCAGCTTCCAGCAGCTTGTGCTGGCACCCCTGCTGTGTCTGTGGGAACCGTTATTGGGACCGATGGGGCATGACGCGTGTTTGACCGCTGTGGACTCACATCGCCAGCTCGTGTGCATGTGGCGCGTCGCCCTTCAAGCCAACTGCACATGCACGGGCGCTCAGACCGACGACCGGCGATCTCTTAACTGTCAATCATGACCCCTCAGATCAAGGATCTCATGGGGGGCGGTGCAGGGGAGGAGCAGGAGGGCAGCGAAGACGAGCTCATGTGATGACATCAGAGCGAGTCGCCCGCCCTAGCGACTTGTCATGAGGCATCGGTCAACCCCTGTGGCCGATCGCTTTGACCACCTGTATGACTGGTTTATGCCGTTGGCGGCCATCTTTGGTCGCAACATCCGCCTGATTCGCCGAGTGACTGATGATTTGAGCGACCTGTCCAGGGGCAGGCCCATGCTGCCAAGCTGGTGACGTAACGAGCGGGCAGCTGACTCAATTAGAAGCTGCATGAAGGTCGCAAAGGGTTTTGACAGCATTCTGGGTGACAACTTTCAGCAGCAACTGTGAATCACACCAGTGCTGGCAGCAACATGGCAACGCCGTCCTGGTGCATGTGCCATTTTCGCTGAACAACCCTTGGGCACCAGCTAGAGAGGTGCGATCGTTGCGATCCAATCTGTGCCGTGGAAATCCAGAGCTGGCAAGGCAAGAAAAGAGATGGGGAACGAAAGATCCATTTTGCATTAGAAGCTCTCACTGTGAGCGCTGTCTATCCGCAACATCGCGGCATTGCTGCAATGGAAGTGCGCTGCAGCGTCACTGCCTGGGTCACCAAACCTCGCGCTCACCAGAGAGGGCAAGGCTGGGGCCGTGCCCGTCCTGAGCATTTTAAAAATATTTTCCGACCTTTTGATAGTGCAGATCTCCGCGCAGCGCGATTTGGCGGCATGTTGCATTCGGAGGCGAGGCGTGCAGCAGTCCAGCGCCAACAGGTAAGCCTCGCGTGTTCGCAATTGAACGCGCCACGAAAGCGTAGTTCGCTCTGCCTGCCAAGCCCTGCACGATCGGGCCACTGCTCGCTCACCCCCTCCGCCGCTGCTCCAGCAGGCGCTGCACGCCCAACCGCGGCCGCTCGCCGCCGCCGTCAGGGCGGCGCGGCCGCGGGCTAGAGCGCGTGCCGCAGGCGACAGCAGCGCCAGCACGTCGACGGACGTGGCGATCCCAGGCCCGGGCCTGACGCCGGTCTCGGCCCTCACCTTGGCAGCGGAGGCGCCCTCGGCAGTGACCCTATTTTACCGCTCAGGCTGGGGCCAGGGCTGCGTGCATGGGTCGCTCCAGGGTGGCGACTGGCGCGACTTTGCATTCTCAAAGGTGTGGCGGGCTTCCCGGCGGAAAGCAGCGTAACGTCCGCAGCAGCCGGCAGCGGCAGCCATGTGGAATGAATGAAGATGAGGCAGCATGCGTGCCAGCGACGGCCCTGACGTGGGCATGAGCGCACCCACTCTGCGCGCCCCCCAATGCAGGTTGCGTCCGCGCCGAGCAAGTGGCTGCGGGCCAAGATCCCGGTTGCTGCAGGCGCGGGCAGCAATGGGAACGGCGCGGCTGCAGCGCCCCTGCTCGAGTTTGTTGTCACTGATGGTAGCGGCAGCTGGGACAAGCCCGCCGGTGCGCAACTGACGGATCATTCATGCGAAGCAACTGCTCATTAGGGGAAGGGCTGCATGGGCGTTGAGCTGTGCATGCATGCCCACCATCTGGCCAGCAGGGTGCGGCCATGCACCCAACAATAGCCCCACGGATTGTGCATGCACGCACCTGCTTACATTATTTGACACCAGGCGCGCGGCATCGACGCCCCTGAACAAACCATCTACCCCCATCCCGGAAATGGTGCCCCGCGTCGCGCTGCGCTGCTCGCGACACACCAGGACGTCACATCACATGCGGCGCACCCAACCCTCTTGCAGGCGGCAATTACGTGATTTCAGCCCCCGGGACCTACACCCTGCGCAGCGGCAGCATCAACCCGGTGGCGGGCCGGGCAGTGTGCCTCGTTTCGGATCTAGACGGAACCATGGTGGGTGTGGGGGATGACGTAGGGTGCTGCATCGCATGTGGGTGCCCGGGGATAGAGGCGGGCGATGCCTTAGTTTTTGGGGGGCGGGGGAAGGGGGTGGCTAAACATTATCAGTGTGTGTTCACCACAGGGCGGAGGTGAATGCTGGGACAACAGGCCTGACGGTTGCCCGCCAGGGCGCATGCACAGCTGCGCAGCGTGATGGGCATAGCCTCCGCGCTCAGCCAGCGCACGCGGCCCGAACCTCGCCCGCCGGCGACCCGCGTCCGGCCCCGGCGCGGCAGGTGGGGGACGACGCCGCCACTGCGGCGTTCAAGCAGTGGTGGGAGGACGTCGGCGTCGTGCGGGGCGGGCTGCTGGTCTACAACACTGGCAGGTGAGGGGTCGACGCTGCAGCGGGCACTGTTATGGGCTGATGTGGCGGAGCGCCGCGGCAAACAAGGTATCGGAGTCTGCAATCGCATTCGTTGGGACGCAGCTAGAAGGCGTATGTGCGGGTGCAGCTGTTTCTGGTGCCCGGGCTTCCTGGTGCCACAACACATGGCCCGTGTCGAGAGCAGCCTGGGCAGCAGCAGGGGTGAGGCCTCGCCACCGTTTGCGGGTCGAGCTCGAAGGAAGCTTGAAGCTTGTTCGTTGGGCAGAGTGACGGGAGGCCCTGCTTGAGATCGAGCAATGGCGGAGCCCCTTGGCGCACGCGGCTCCGCCGGCGCAGGTCCCTTGAGTCGTTCAAGCAGCTGCTGGAGGCGAAGGGCGGCGCCCTCGCGCGGCCGGACGTCCTCATCAGCGCAGTGGGCACCAAGGTGCGGCGGGCAGGGGGCGGCGCGCAGAGCGCACGCAGCTTTGCCACCCTGGAAGTGGCCGGAGCATGACGACGTCTCATGCCCCGCTGGCAAGACACACACACACACACACACACACACACACACACACACACACACACACACACACACACACACACACACATACATATGAACACCCATATACACTGACGCACACGTTGACATAGACGCGTGCGCGCGCGCACGCGCACACACACACACACACACACACACACACACACACACACAGCGCGCGCGTGCGCACGGAGCTCAATAGACACTTGAAACTGCACACACGCACACACGCGCGGCGCTCCGCGCACCTCCGCCCCATCAGATCTACAACTATGCGGGGCAGGGCCAGTGGAAGGAGGACGCGGGCTGGGTGGAGCAGCTGGGGGAGGGCTGGGACCTGGGGGTCGTGCGGGAAGCTGCCTACAAGGCGCTGGCAGAGGTGCGCCCGCGGCTGCACCCTCCGCTTATGACGTGCGGCACGACGGCCCCTGAGCCCGCTGCTATGCGCAGCAGTGGGTGCCCTTGACCTGCCTGGTCTGCCGCGCGGGAGTGCCGGGCAGCGGGTGGACTGCCTCGCGTGCGCCCGCTGCGTCTTAGAAAAGCGTACGCGCCGCAAGCAGCGACACGCTCTGCGAAACCCCGACCCGCGCGTTGCGCCCGCGCCAGGTCGGCCGCGAGGCGATGCACTTCCGGCCGCCCGAGGAGCAGAACGACCACAAGGTCACGTGCGGCGTCCAGACGGGGCCCCTGCCGCGCGTGCTGGAGCGGATCAGCAAAACGCTTGAGAAGGGCGGCGTGGATTGCAACGTCATTACCAGCGGGACGGGTGGGGCCCGCCGCTGCCTCGGCTGGGCTGGGCCAGCGCTTGATTTGGTGTTTGCTGCGGTGCTCGATGCAGCGGGGCGGGAGGGTTTGCTTCAACCTGGTTTGGCCGGTCTCGGTTTTAGGTGATTGCGGGCGGCCTCCGTGTCTCGCGTGACGGCCGCTTGTGTGCATCCGCGCCTCGCCGTGCCGCTGCTGCGTGTGGCCACCACAACGGCGTCCAGCGGCCTCGAGCTGCAGCATGCGCTCTCATGAGTCAAACGCTCCCAACCCAATAAAATGCCTGTGCCCCGGCCATGCCCGACCCTCAGGCGACTGGCGGTTTCTTGATCTGGTGCCCAAGCGCGCCGGCAAGCTGCAGGCGCTTGACTACGTGCGGCAGGTAAGGGGTCACAGGCGCGGTCGGACCTCACACGCGGCCATGCACTGCGCCCTGGCGCTTAAAGCGCCGTAGATGCACCTGAGCCGCGATGAGGTGCCGGGGTCGGGCCCGGGCTCGCTGCATCCTGCCAGTCGCGATGTGCCCCATGGGTTTCTGCACCCCAGCCCGACCCCGGGCGCCGCTGCTGCCTTTGACCCTGCCACTGCGCAGGAGCACGGCTTCCCTCTGTCTGCGACCGTGGCCTGTGGGGACAGCGGCAATGACATCCTGATGCTGTCGGGGCCAAATCTCGCCATCGTGGTCGGCAATGCGCAGGTGTGTGCGCGCACGTTTGCACAGGAGCGCGCATGTGTGTGTGTGTGGGGGGGGGGGGAGAAGGTGTGGGTGTGAGGGTGGGTGGGTGGCTTGGTGGGTGGGTGCACGCACGTGTTCATGTGCGCACGTTTATACATCAGCGTGAGCGTGTGCATGTGGCGGCGTGAGTGCACATGCGCGCGTGCCGCGCATGCATTTGCCAGCTGTGTGTGCAACCCCGCCGCCGCCCCCTTGCAGCCCTGCCTTCCTGCATCGCTCCCACACTGCGTGCCTCGCCTGGGAGCGCGCCGATGCCACCCCGCGATAGCACTGTCCTGACCTGTGATCGGCCTCCTCGCCCCTGCCGCCGTTGCCTCCTGCCGCCGCAGCCGGACCTGGTGAGTTGGGTGGAGGCGCACCAAGCCGACGCCAGCCCGGTCCCCGGCAAGCAGCGGCTGCTCGTCGCCTCGGCGCACGAGGCGCGCGGCATATTGGAGGGCCTGGAGTATTGGGGCCTCAAGTAGCGAGGCCGTGGGACGCACGTGTCTATGTGTCCATCCAGCTTCCGGGTGCAGCGGCAGCAGCTGTGGCTCCTTTGGCCCCGTCCCATGCTGCTCGTGCCGCACCGCTCCGTGGTCAGACTGCGGGTCGGACCGGCAGTCGAAGGCGCAGGGCGTGTGCTGCGTGTTGCTGGTGCTGGTCAACTTGAATGCAATACAGTTTTTGTATACTATCGAACACCCACTAGTTGTAAGCCGAACGAAAATGCTTCAGATCATTGCGGGGCGTCACCTGCCACTGGGGCGATTGCTGCAGTCGTCTCAGGCCGCTCTGGGGGCGCTTCATGGCCAGAATTATCCTCAGGAGTCTTGCTGCAGCGCACGTCCAGCCTCGACGGCGAGCAGCAGCAGCAGCAGCAGCAGCAGCAGCCATGCCCCAGCCGTGGACTCTACAGGGCCCTACTCAGGCCGCGCGGGCCCGACTCTGCAGCATGCGGGTCCTCCTGTGATCTATGATGTATCTGTACTTATCAAAAGCTTCGAGCTGCGGTTTGTCAAGCAGGCCAGCACAGTGATCCGCGATCTCATGCTGCTCTGCTTCACCCCCAAGAGCATTGGCGCGCTCCCCGAGGACCTTCGCAAAGCCTGGGACCAGCTGGGATCCGTGCGTGACACCGACGTCGCGCTCGCGGTGCCGCTCGGCGACCGCGCCCTTCGGACGCGGCGCACCATCTTCACAGTCATCCGCGGCCCCCACATTCACAAGACCAGCCGCGAGCAGTTCCAGCGGCTGGTGCATCGGCGCGTCATCAATTTCCCGACGACTTCCCATGAGGAGCTGCAGTGGTTCCTGGACGCATTGAAGTCATATGACTTCACCGGCATCCAGATCCAGGTCAAGCTCGGCAGCAGCAGCTTCCTCATGCCGCCGCCGCTCCCCGACCCCGCCCGCGCGCCCGCCGCGCCCGCGCGCCCGCTCCTCGCCCGCCACATGGCGCGCTTCCCCCACCTCTTCCCCGCGGCGGCGCTCGGCGGCGGCGCCCCCAGCAGCAGCGGCGGCAGCAGCGCCGCGGCGATGGCGCGGGATTTCGAGCAGTCGTTCGCGACGGCGCGCGCCGACCTGGTTTGGGAGCGCCTGGCGCTGCAGCAGCTGCCGGCGTTCCAGTCTTGGCTGCGCCAGCAGAACCCCGCCTCCCTGGCGGCGGCCGCCGACGCCGCCGCCCAAGCGGCCGGCGGCGAC